GTCTCTTTTCAAATACTTAAAGAGAGTTGGCGACGTTATCAGAAAGCAGTGAAAGCTGCTAAATCCAAATATTTCTCTGATATAATTACCTCAAACTCTCACAGCCCACGTGTCCTCTTCTCCACCCTAAACTCTGTTCTCCACCTCACTGAACCACCACCTCTGGAAGCCTCGACTGAGCTGTGCGACAACTTCTTACATTTCTTTTTGGAAAAAACTGCGACCACCCGGGCTCTCATTTCCCCTCCAACTCATGACCCATCCATCCCACCTCAATCTGTAGCTCTATTTGACCATTTTGAACCCATCACTCTATCTTCTCTAGAGCAGGTCATGTGCAACTTGAAACCTTCTGGTTCCCCCTTTGATGTGGTCCCCCCCTCGGCTACTAAAGGAGGTTTTTCCTACTCTAGGTCCGTCCATTCTTGATATAGTAAACAGTAGTTTATCCACTGGCGTGGTGCCAAAATCCTTTAAACATGCTGCTGTCCAGCCTCTCCTGAAAAAAACAAACCTTGACCCCTCAGTCGTTTCCAACTACCGGCCTGTCTCCAAACTCCCATTTGCTTCTAAAGTTCTGGAGAAAATAGTTGAGTCCCAGTTGAAGTGCTTCCTGGAGGATCATGCCATCTTAGAGCTTTTCCAATCTGGCTTTAAACCTCTCCACAGCACTGAAACTGCCCTGCTGAAGGTCTTTAACGACATCTTCAGATTCACAGATACCGGTAATTCTGTGCTACTTGTCCTGTTGGACCTCACAGCTGCCTTTGACACCATCGGCCATGAGATCCTCATTGCTAGGTTGGAGCAGTGGGTGGGCATCACAGTATCAGCCCTCAATTGGTTCAGATCCTACCTCACTGGCAGATCCTTTTGTGTCTCCATCAAGGATTTTAGTTCCGCAGAGCTTAAATGGGGGGTTCCGCAGGGGTCCATACTGGGTCCCCTCCTATTCTCTTTATACCTGCTGCCGCTTGGTGCTATTTTCCGGAAACACAACATGTCCTTCCACTTCTATGCCGATGACTGTCAAATTTACTTCCCCCTAAGACACAATGGTACATGCTCTATTCAACTGCTGCTCGACTGCCTGGCTGCCATCAGGGACTGGATGGCTTTAAACTTCTTAAGTTTCAATGAAAAAAAGTCTGAAGTCATGTTGTTCCCTCCCAATGACACGATCACAAACCACTGCATCGACCTTTCCCCTCTAACCCTGTCAGAAAAACAAAGAGTCACTAATCTGGGCGTGATAATGGACCCTTCCCTGAAACTTAACAATCATGTAAACATGATTGTTAAATCATGTTTCTTCCAACTGAGGCAGCTGTCTAAACTGAAGCCCATATTGTCCAAAAAGAACCTGGAGACAGTAATACATGCATTCATTACATCTAGGCTTGATTACTGCAATTCGCTCCTGTTTGGTATCAGTCAGACCTCCATTACACGACTACAACTGGTCCAGAATGCAGCAGCCCAATTTTTAACCAGTACAGGCAAAAGAGAGCACATTACACCAGTTTTGGCCTCACTGCACTGGTTACCGGTTCACTTTCGAATCCAGTTCAAAATACTCATGTATGTCTACAAATCAATGAACAGTGTAGCCCCCCCCCCCCCC